GCGCCGAAAGCTTTTCTGAAAATGAGTGATCTAGTGGTTTTCAAAGACGCTGAGCAAGTTTCTAATTGAAACCATATGTCTATTTTCATTAATTAAAAAGTTAATTAACGAATTTCGATTAATTAGACGACTGATCGTTACGATTAGCACCTATAATATGTCCCCTTGGCCGTATAACTCGCCTCCACAAGCGGCATAAGTGTAACATTCATGGCTTTTTTTAAACAAATCTGTTAAGCTTAAAAAAAACAAAAAACACCCTCTAATATATACCGGGTGATACAAGGAGACGGCAGGTTCTTTAAATCTACCGGAAAATTCAGTTTCTTAACCTATCGCGTTACGACTTTGTGCAGCGTTGCCCACAGATGGTGCTTATTTTTCTTTTTTTTTTTTTTTGTAAAATTTGCAAAGAGCGGATTTACCTGAGGAAAAAGTAAAGAAAGAAAAAGGCTTAGCTCCTATGGAAACGCAGCGACGCCACCGGTCTTCAAACAACACGGCGCAGTTTCGCACAGGAGACAAGAGATAACGCACGCGGTCGCGACGCCAACTGCCGCCAACGAACGAGCAGACGACGCCGAGAGCCGGCGTATTCAGCAGACAAGCAACTGCAGTTCCTTGTTGTTACCGCGCCTGTTTTTGTTTCTGCGACTATGGTGCCTGGATCGCGTCTTCGACTGGCGTGTTTAGCGTCCTATCCCGCCCATACATCAAAAGTGGTCCCGGTGTGGCAACAAATGACTTCACAGAAACCGGAGTGTCATGCTGTTGCCTGTCACGATCCTGGCGGTTGGCCGTAGAAATGCTGGCGTAAAGCACGAGCAAACGCGAGTGTCGCTGTCTTCACGGCGTCCCAAGCGTCCCAACTTCCGGCTGCTCTAGCTTCCGTAAACTGTCACAGTAGAGAGCAACTTGCAGCAGAACAGGCATCTGCCATTTCTACCACAACTGTTGGGACGCCGCCAGGGTCGCGACCGGCGACAGCACGACACGTTTATGACGTCATCAGGCAAAAATCGAGGGACCACTTTTTTGGCCGCGGTAAACACACCAGTCGGAGACGCGTTCCAGGCACCATATTGCGACTGTCGCCGCCCGCCGAACGCACTCCGCTTTTGAGTCGAAAAGATTGTCTGCTAAAGACGCTAGCTCTCGGCGCCGTATGCTCGTTCGTTGGCGGCGTTCGTTGCGCCATCTCTTGTGTCCTGTGCGAAACGGCGCCATCTTGTTTGCAGACCGGTGGCGTCGCTGCGTTTCCATAGGAGCTAAGCCTTTTTCTTTCTTTACTTTTTCCTCGGGTAAGTTCGCTCTTTGCAGATTTTACAAAAAAAAAAAAAAAAAAAGCATGATCTGTGGGCAACGCTGCACAAAGTCGTCGCGCGATAGGTTAGGAAACCGAATTTTCCGGTCGATTTAAAGAGCCTGCGGTCTCCTTGAATGACCCGGTATACATATATATATATATCCTAAACGTTTTGTGGGAACACACCATGCGATTTTTAAAATGTCTGATTTAAAGAATATTATAAATATAAATTGAATTCAAAACAGTTAAATACGAATTCAATATGTGAATGTAACGTATATATGGATATACGAGAGTAATCACTTTTAGCTAGAAATATTTCATTGCCGGAATTTTTCAAATATTGAAACAAAACACCTATTATTAATTAACGACTGTTCTGTGCTTTTAATTTTAGTTGTTTCTGTTTAATAAAGCTAATTTGGCACAATAGTCATAACGATAATAATCCCTGGAGAAGCGGAACAAGGGGAGCTCCTAAAACTGCTAGGTGACTGGTGTGCGACAGAAAAAAATCCACCTTGTTCTGGTATTGAACCAGCGACCTCCCCATTTCCGGTGGAGTGGTCCCAACTTAGCTAACAAGGAGGTAGACGTCAGTAGAGCAAACTGGTATTAACAGCTGTGACCAGCGTAATACGAACAAGGCTGAAGGGCATGCATTTTAAGATTATGATAATAATGCAAAGATGCACCGAGCTGGACAAGAATAACGATAATAATCCCTCAAAAAAAGAGAAAGAGTGGGCAAAACACAAACCTTTAACCACAGCGAGATAACTGGTGCGCGACTGAACAAAAAAAATAATTGTCCTGGTACTTTATAGTTATTCTTTTTCAGCACGCTAAACTTTGCAGTAATTGCATCATCATCAGAATAGTAACGTCTGTCAACATCTAACTCACAACCGTCTTGAACCAATGTACAAAACTATAGAAGTAAACAAGAAAGAGAAGGCCAAATAACTTAAATTGAGAAAGTGAGAGACACCAGAAGGGAAAGCGGACGAGGAAGGACGTACCATTTGTCGCTGCATGATTGTAATATCTGCGCCAACCGGGATCCAGTGTCCAGTTTCCCGGTTTGCCCGGCAGTTCGAATGATGCGACCCCGGACCGCTGCCTGCCGAGATGTAATCGGTGTTTGGAGCGCTGTTCCCGTCCGTATTATGCGTCGTCGTCGTCGTCGTCGTCGTTCGAATTCCTCCTGAGAGCAATTAAAAGGGTCCATTTTCCCGGCGCTCCTTCGACATAATCGTTTCATGGCCTGCAGAGCTCTCCGGGTCTCTTCTTTCATTTCGGAGTGGTACCGGCGTCATTATTCGCGTAAAACGTTAGATTGGTTAAAAAAAAACACGTTGTAGGGCAAACAGGGCACACAACGTGCTGATTCTGGGCGATGTCGTGCATAAATTGCTCGTCATGCCGTACTTACCTGGCGAAAACGCGCGAATTCCACGCGCACTTTTCTGCCTGCAGCCTTGGAATGATGTGCAGTGGTTTATTCCGGATTCTCGATCGGGGAGTACAAACAATCTGGGAGGGACTCTGGGTAACTGTATACCATAAGATTGTACTCTTCGTGTACACTCCGTGTCACCCTACGATGAACTAGGGTCCGAAGGCTGGAGGCCGGAGCACTGCCTCAGAAAAGCTTACATCCGCATTGCGAAAGAGTGCATGAGAGAAATTCCGATACGCAGACGAAGAAGAGCACTAGTCGAACGTATATGGCTCTGCCTTATAATAGCGCGGTATTTTTATATTGGTGAAATAAAGGTACATGGTATTTATTTTCATAAACATTCTTGCCGTATTTCGTAAACATGTCAACTGTTTGGAGAAGTTGGACGGTGCGCAGGCCACACTGACATAAAGTTGTTTCGCCTTAGCCATAGCATCCAATCCAATCTAACTTTCGTGTACGTAAAACGTACCCGAACCTGCACCTCCTTTTCGCACGCGGTCCGTACATACGCCCCCGCGTCGAATACTATCCAAATCAACTTCATTCCTTAATGGCCACTGATTCTTATCACGGGTTCTCTTCGCCCCATTGCTTCCGGACGGTATTTAATCCCTTCAGTGTGATTCCACGTCCATTCATGCAATGATAATCCGGGTCATAATTTCGATTTTTTGTTGTTAAAAGTATATATGAAAGCCATGTTCTTGGGAGAAACATTCTGATATATATGCACGCCGTAACGGTTTTTTTTTCCGCTGAGAAATAAAATAGAGAACCCCGAGGCGTGGAAATTGCGATTTCAGAGTGCTAATTTTCACTGTCATTATTTCCTCATAAAAGCTTTCACGTCACCATAAATGCTTTAATGCGCTTTACAAAAGGTATACAGCACATACACAAAAAATAAAAATATCAATACAATATTTCTATGCACACAAAGAAACCAAACATGACATAAAACGCGTTTAAAAGTGTATTCACAATTGTTTTCCAAATAAACCATATTTCATAATACTTCACAAAACATATCAAAATATGCGCTTTTAAATCTTCTTTACGAATATATAAAGATGATATGCCCACCTTTAATTATCTTTTTGTTATTAACACAGAAATGCGACTGATTTCTCAAAATGTGGAAACCCTTACAAAAATGGCATATCTGAACTGATATTAAAAATAACAGATATGAGTATATAAAAAATTGGGCAGATCTGGCCATATCAAGCATATCAGTTTAAATAAGGCATATCTGCCCAGATATGCCCAATTTTTTATATATTCATATCTGGGTCTGCCAAATAGGGGTATATCTGCCTCCATATCTGCAGCCTGATATGCCTCCATATCAGGCTGCAGATATGTCCAAATCAGGTAAGGCAACCTTTATACAGGTTTTTTTTTCATTCTTTCAGATTTGTTTAAAAAAAGCAGTGTACACTTATGCAGTTTGTGCAGCTGAGTTGTACGGCCAGGGGGACATAGTATAGGGAGATAGTTGCGACTATCAGTCGGCTAATTAATTAAAATTTGTTAATTAAATTTTTAATTATTACAAATAGTTCCCATTAGAAACTTGCTGAGCATCATTGAAAAGCACTAAATCAACTCCTTTTAAAAGGATATAACGCCGGGGCAGCATTTTACGGCATTCTGTAAAAACGCTCCATTTGGATGCGTTTCTAGATTTCAGTCTCTTATCAGAGCGCATGTTTGTGCCCGCGGTCCTGCTCCCCAGTGACTTAGGCGCACCACACACGTGCTCCCTACTTCCCTCCATTCTACGATTCTATTCTATGGCCGTGCGCCGCGATTACTCGGGGGCAGGACCGCGGGCGCAAAGATGCGCTCCGATAAGAAAGCGAAACCTAGAAACGCGTCCAAGTGAAGCGCTTTTTTAAAACACCATAAAATGCTTCCTTGGCGTTATATTTTTCTAAAAATAGTTGATTTCGTGGTTTTCAACGATGCTCAGCATGTTTCTAATTGGAACTATATGGCTATTTGCACTAATTAAAAAGTTAATTAACACATTTTACTTAATTAGCCGACTAATAGTTGTGCCTATCTCCCTATACAATGTCCTGCTGTCCATATAACTGAGCTGCACAAACCACACAACTGTAGCTTTTGCGTTTTTTTTTAACAAATCTGAAATAATAATAAAAAAAACATGCTGTATATATGTTTTCTAGAAATCTATATAAAAAGATATAAATGGGATAATGAACATGTACAAACTTTTATTAATTTTTAGACAAGCTGCTTGACACCGCTCCTCATTTCGCTGAGCTTCGTTCCTAGGGACAGGAGAATCAACTTCTCATTGAAGTCCCAGCCTCTACTTTTGCACATGGCCTTCGTGTGCGCTGCAATTGAGATAAAAAAAAAAGAAGAAATGTACACACTTCAGCTTTGAAAAACTAAGTGACTGCAAAAAGCATTTCCTGATGGAGTTATACCCTTTATATCACACTTCTGCAAAAAGAAATTCGAATAGAAGTAATAGTACACCTGCATGCCTTTTTTACAGGGCCGTGCAACGATTTTAACATTGCAAGAATCTGCACTATGTTAATCTTCTTTAGTTTACCTTAGCACCGTGTATTGCAAAGTAAAAAGATTTGAATTTCCAGATGTACAGTAGCAAATGGCTGTCAAGGATTGATGCGACTGTTGAGAGACACTGCAGAGAATTAGCAAGTCGTCAATTATTTGTTCAGTCTACAGCTAAGTTTTGAAATTGTGCCAGTTCAACATGAGTTAACATGCCAAGAGCCTTTTATTGTCGTCAAGATTCATTAGACAAAGTGTCAATAGTTCAACCTGCCCGACATCAACAAAACCATTCCATAACTGCTTGTTCCCTAATGAACGGGCAAACGCCTTTTAACACTTGTGCTTTCCTGCTCGACCAGGAACGGATACAAGCTGCGAACATCAGCAATGCTGACTAGTTGTGGTTTTCCGACACGATAGAACCAGAGCTTGAAGGATGTTCCGATTTAAGCCAAAAACCTTCAGAAGCAAAGCAGACTAAAATAATGCAAAAACTTACACAAAATAGCCGTGATGGCTGAGACGTCCAGTGGGGGCCGCTGCTCGGATGGCCTATGGGAGCCCTTGGCCCGTTGACCTTTGACTGAGCAGATCACAAGGGCCTGCTGTGTGAAAACTGCGGTGAGCAATCCACGCGCCGTGGCCGTCGCGGTCTTCGAGTATGTCTCAATACTCCGGAGCTGGCTGCTTTCGATGAAAATTGCAGAGCCAGGCCCTAGCTCCACAACCTGCAAAATCAGATCACAGAGAAGAATGTTTGAGAGAAAACTCAAGAGCAGAAAAAGATGTGATGAACTACCTTAAGATTGACTGAGCAGGAATTAAATAAAAACACAGTCACTCTAGCCCTTTGGTTTTTATTTTCCGTAATATTACTTCTGCTGTAGCCAGAAAACAAGCCACTATCATAATTGTGCTAGTCACACAAGACTGATAATTTCTGAAAACGATGGGTAATTGCGCTAGTCACACAAGACTGATAATTTCTGAAAACGATGGGTTGATAACATGCTAATGGTGGGTGTCAAAATGCTTTTCAACTGTCAGCAAAAAAAAAAAAAGCAGTAATATTAAGTGGAGCCAACTTACACTATAATAAAACTGCCACATAGATATTTGACCCCTTAACTACTGATGATGAGGTATCTTGTTACGTGGTGGCCGCCACTGCGGATGACCGAGATAACCCGTCACTACACTTTTTAACTGATGAACAGAAACTCTGCAAAGTTTTTTTTTCAAGGAAAACATGAGCCGCCGAATGTGGATTCATGTCCTCGAATTCAACACAGGCAGTATTCCATTACGGAAATTTCAAAAGTAAAGGACATGATGTAACTGTAGAGAAGTAGAGGACATGTTCTAAATTTAGCAGGGTCACATGGTCATGTTACCTTGGTTCACCAACAAAAATTTGGGACTGGGGTTTTATAAAATGCACTCCATGCATAAGACAAGACTATCATAGAATACCGCGTATCCGCCCATTCCACACTAAGTGCCCATTCCCCAATTTGCGAGATCTGAGAAAATACATACAGTACATTTATGTTATGTAAAATTGACGACCGGACGAGCGCCCATCGCCCATTTTTTTGTGATTATCTCAAAAGTTTGAATGGGCGCTTGCCCGGTATTTTACAGTACTCACACCAGCATCGTTCCAAGAGTGCAGTAGCTGTGAGGCAGGGGTGCCGCTCAAAATGTGTGGCCTAGCTGTGTGGCCATCTAATTTCCCAATGGCTCCCAGATGCTCCCGGGGGAGATGTTGGGCCTCCCTGGGGGCTTCCAAGAATTGTGTAGCCTCTCTGAGGACTGCTGGGGCCTCCCTGTGGACTGGTGGGGCCTCCCTGTGGGCTGGTGGGGCCTCCCTGTGGGCTGGTGGGGCCTCCCTGTGGGCTGGTGGGGCCTCCCTGTGGGCTGGTGGGGCCTCCCTGTGGGCTGGTGGGGCGTCCCAGTAGACTGGTGGGGTCTCCCTCGGGTCTTCCAAGAATCGTGCAGCCTCGCAGAAGACTGGTGGGGCCTCCCTGAAGGTTTCGAAGGGTTGTCGAGCCCCTCTGAAGACCGGTGGGGCCTCCCCGAAGACCGGTGGGGCCTCCATGAAGATCGGTGGGGCCTCCATGAAGATCGGTGGGGCCTCCCTGAAGACCGGTGGGGCCTCTTCGAAGACTGGTGGGGCCTCCTCAAAGATCGGTGGGGCCTCTCTGGCAACCAGTGAGGCCTCCTTGAGGACTGGCGGGTCCTCCTTGAGGACTGGTGGGGCCTTCTTGAGGATCGGTGGGGCTTCCCTAAAGGCTTTTGAGGCTTGCAGGGGCTGCATGGGAGTCAAAATTAATACTTTGATAACTATGTGAAGGCAAACAACAGTTAGCCACCCGCTAACCATGGTTCGGCTCAACTGAACTGACCAAATGTTGCACAGAACTTTTGCTCTAAGTTAAAATTGTCTGGTATCACATGATTAACCTAAATTTAAAGTACATTCATGTTAACAGGCTACTTAATAACATTTAGTGATCATAAAAAAAGCCCATCAAAACGTATCAAATGCATGAAGTTGAGAAAAAACCAGACATTAGGTAATTGCATTGCCATCAACAGAATGTACAGTGTACCGCAGCACCACAGTATCGTCATGTCGCAACCGCATCTGATGGTAGCAGATAGTTTCGGTTTTGCCGTAGACACCCGAAAGCAAACTTTGAGCCCTTGATGTCTATAAAACTAAATGCAATATCAAAAAGCTTTTCTACTTTTGTGAAGAAGGAAGACGAAGCTGTACTACGGTGGAAATTAAGCATTTATAAATGTAAGGATTAAGGTGTGATTAGGTAATTGGATTTCGAGGCGAGCGATGTGCTCTTCTTTCGCAAGGAAATCTGAAGTGGAAGTCGAGGCGACAGCGGCTTTGCGGACCCATTCGCACTGCTGCGTATGTCGCCGCCTCTTCCGCACCCGGTCTTCTTTCCCCGAAGAAAAAGCACGCCGCCAACCCATCGTGAGTACAAACAGAAACTGATAAGGGCGTAGGAAACAGCACACAAAACAGACGAGGACGAAGAAGAAACACGGGTGACGAGCGCTGCACTCATCATGTGTGTTCTTCGTCCTCGTCTGTTTTGCGCGTTGTTTCCTACGATGAACTCCCACCAACTCGCCCAACTATCCCTTCTTCAATGAAAGCTGGAAAGGTTGCCGCAATCTATGAGCGATGGCGGCAACCAGACTGGTTGTCTGTTGCTGCCGTCGCTTGTAGATGGCGGCAGCTGTCCAGAGGTTTGTGTCGACATTTCTTTGGTACCGGGCACGATCCTGGGGAACGTAGCCCTTAACAGCACCGCTCTCAAAACCTTGTTATTCAGGGACACTGCCTGAGCTGAAAACAGTCGTAATCCAAAATTCGAAAGTACTGACCGGAGTTGCCCTTTAAACACCAAGATGGCTGAAGTGTTACTCTGAAGCATAGCCTGTTTAGTGACACGCCCAAACTAAGCTCGCCAAGCTCAATTATTCCAACTATGGCTAGGGGATAATCTGCACTTTTATCTGCCGTGTAACTGTGCAACAAGCCTTTCCCCAATCCCACGCCATCTAGCTGAGCCAATTCTAAACTATGCGCACCCGCTGAAGGTGGCCATGTGCGCTGCTGCCAGCGGGACCGCGCCTGCCATTACATGATATACGGTCGCAAAGGCCAGTACTCCGTAGTGCCCATGCAGCACCTTTCCAGATGCGTTTTTATTGCTCTGCGGCACTGCGTAGGCAGAAAGGAGTGATGGATAACCTCTCAAATAGGACGAGATTCACTGTTGTGCAGCAAAAATACAGCTGTCAACAAAAAAACATAATATAGACCAACACGCGGCCCTGACGTCACGCAGCTGCGGTGGCGCTGTCGATGGCACTGCGCATGCGCAGACGCTTCACTTCAAGTGAATTCGGTTTCTGCGCACGCGCAGTGCCCACACCTGCTGTGGGCAAACGCGGGCTTGTTTGTAAACAGCGTGTCGGTCTATAAACCAGTCCGTTATCTGCGTGCTCCCTACACTCAAAATGAATTAAGTCAGGACACGTTAGCGAGCATGAGGATTCATTGTGACAGCTCGTGCAATAAAAAGAATTATCATAGCTACAAGCACACACACACACACAGCTCTCCCTGAGGATACCTCATTTGAGCATGGCATTTGAGCTATTCTGAAATTTGGCTACTGTCGCCTTCAGGTGTCCCATTTCTTTTCTGTCCGAGCGATCCGTTGTTCATAGTAACCGAGAAATTGCTATAAAAGGTCAGGGGGGAAACATAATAACACAAAATATGCAAGGCTGAAGCAGTTCAGTAAGGTGGCTACCTCACAAACGTTGCTGGTAGCCGACGCCTTTTGATGCAACAAGTCGTTCCTAGTGCATTGTAAACGACTTAATTTTTGCAAGGACCTATTTTTCAAGAAATATTGTGAAAAACAGATCACACAAATTAATTAGCCTATGGTAAAGAATACAAACTACCACTCTTCATTGCGAAATATTGTGCTTGCCAAATATTCCCAAAACCCCTAATTTTTAAAATTTGCCAAATATTAAGGCTTCAAAAATAAAGTTCACAGTATTTGCCTTCAACATTGCCTAAAGGGAGAGAATGTGTCAAAGACAGCCAGAGCTGCCGAAGCAAACATTCTCTGCTGCTGCTGCCAAAGACGCGATAAGGGACGCTATCGTGGACAAACTCGGCAGTGATGGTGTGAGAAGTAAAGGCTGACCCACATAGGACATATAGACCCTTTCAGGAAACATTTCATGGGCGCCGCCATCTTGACGTCACGTGACCCTGCCGCCATAGCCGACCTTCAGTCTCTCACCGTTCCTCCACATTGCATGCTGCACAGGCCACTACCGGAGCTTTGTTTTTGTGTTCTTTTACGTTCCGCGTTGAAATTATGTGTTTTCTTTAGGTCTGTACGATATTTCGGGCTTTAATTTCATCATTTGATATCTATATTTCAACACAGCTCTAGTATTTTCGTATTTATGAAATGGAATTGTACAGCGAATGGATCGACGATACAAGATTATGTCTTCAGAGACCATGTAAGTTCATCCCGTTCTAACGTTTTCCTCGCTAATAAAGGGCAGTCTACACCATTTGACATATGCAAATTTCAACTGACGCAGTAAGGCTCTCACAGTCGTGCTTCTCGCTGCATGTGCGCGCTCGTTTCCGTAAAGCCGACCCGCATGTAAGCGATTTAGCATGTTACGAGACGAGCGGTGGCAACGATGACGAGCGTCAACGACGAGCGACGGAGATTTTTTACTGTTGCCTGTAGCATCGCTCGGTTTTTGGGATTTCTAAAAAACGTTGCTCACCGTCTCGGTCGCTTGCTCCCGTCGCTTCCATGCGGTTTGCCTCGTCACGCGACTGACCGAGCGACAGCGAAACGGGTCACCGTTGCTGGTCTCGTTGCTCGCCAAATCGCTTACATGCAGTTTATACTTAATGGGGGGGCCCCGTCGGGGTCCACTTCGTTGTTTTTTATTTCCTCTTTGAGCTCGCAGCACTATCGCCATTCGCCATACACAAACACCGATGTGGTCGCGAGCGCGCGTGATTAAAAGACATTCCATCCGAGACATCGGAGTCGCTTGACGCTTTCTCCACACCTAATATCGAGGCTCCAATGGTTCAATGTTGTGTGCTTGTAAATTAATTGAGTATAAAGCGCACGTAAGCGATTTGGCGAACGACGAGATAAGCGACGGCGACCCGCTTCGCTGTCGCTCGGTCAGTCGCGCGACGAGGCAAACCGCATGGAAGCGACGGAGCAAGCGACCAAGACAGTGAGCGACATTTTCTAGAAATCCCAAAACCGAGCGATGTGATGGGCAATAGTGAGAAATCTCCATCGCTCGTGACTCGTCTCGTCGCACGCTAAATCGCTTACATGCAGGTCGGCTTTACGGAAGCGAGCGCGCCCATGCAGTGAGAAGCACGACTGCGATAGCCTTACTGCGTCAGTTGAAATTTACATATGTCGCAATAGTGTTGACTGCCCTTTATTAATGACAAAAACGTAAGAATGGGATGAACTTGCATGGTCACTGAAGCCTCATAATCTTGTATTGTCGATCCATTCGCTGTCCGATTCCATTCCATAAATAATAAAATACAAGAGCTATGTCGAAATATAGATATCAAATGATTAAATGAAAGTGCTAAATATCGAAAAGACCTAAAAAAAATGCAAGATTTCAACACGGAACGTAAAAGAAGACGAAAACGAAGCTCTGGTAGTGGCCTGTGCAGCACACAAGGCGGAGCAACGGCGAGAAACTGAAGGTCGGCTATGGCGGCCTGGAAAGTGCGCGGAGGGCACGCCGACTGGTGGCAGCACGAGTAACTGACTCCCTGAAAGCGTCTATTCTCAATGAATTTACGCACATTTCAGCAGGCGTAATCATGGCATTTAGCAGGTGCTTTTTTCACAGAAGAGAAAAGGGGAAGGTCGCCAAACCACACACAGCGCTTTTTGTCGGCATCTCCTCGTCGTTTGGTGCAGAAAAGTGTGAGTCGGCCCAACTCGCTCTTCTCATAAAACCTTGCCGCCATAGCCGACCTTCAGTTTCTTGCCATTGCTCCGCGTTGTGTGCAGCACCGGCCACCACCGGAGCTTTGTTTTCGTGTTCTTTTACGTTCCGCGTTGAAATCGTGTGTTTTCTTTAACACTTTGTGATATTTCGGGCTTTTATTTATTCATTTGACATCTATATTTCAACATAGCTCCTGTATTTTCTTATTTATGGAATGGAATCGGACAGCGAATGGATCAACGATACAAGATTATAGCCTATGCTTCAGAGACCATGCATGTAAGTTCATAACATTATTTGGTTTTGGTTGCTAATAAAGGGCAGTCAACACCATTGCGACATATGGTAATTTCAACTGACGCAGTAAGGCTATCGCAGTCGTGCTTGTGGCTGCATGTGCACGTTTTAGCGAGCGACGGCGACAACGGCGACAGTCAGTGACAAAGATTTCTCACTGTCGCCCGTTGCGTCGCTCGGTTTTTAGATTTCTAGAAAACATCGCTCACCGTCTTGGTCGCTTGCTCCCGTCGCTTTCATGCGGTTTGCCTCGTCGTGCGACTGACCGAGCGACAGAGAAGTGGGTCACTGTCGCTTGTCTCGTTGCTCGCCAAATCGCTTGCATGCGGTTTATACTTAATATCGAGGCGCCAATGGTTAAGTGCTGTGTGCATCGAAATTAATTAGGTATGAACATAAGCAATTTGGCGAGCGACCAGCTTCGCTGTCGCTCGGTCAGTCTCGCGACGACGCGAACTGCATGAAAGCGACGGAAGCAAGCGACCAAGACGGTGAGTGACGTTTTTTAGAAATCCAAAAACCGAGCGATGGTGAGAAATCTTCGTCGCTGACTCTCGTCGTTGTCGCTCGTCTTGTTGCTCGCTAAAGCGTTTACATGCGGTTCGACTTTTACTAACGGAAACAATGTCAAAGCGCGCACATGCAGCGAGAAGCGCGACTGCGATAGCCTTACTGCGTCAGTTGAAATTTCTATATGTCGCAATGGTGCTGACCTCCCTTTATTAGCAAAAAAAAAAGAAAAAAAAACAAAATAATGTGAACTTACATGCATGGTTTCTGAAGCATAATCTTGTATCGTCAATCCATTCGCTGTCCGATTCCATTTCATAAATAAGGAAATACAAAAGCTATGTTGAAATTTAGATATGAAATGATTAAATGAAAGCCTAAAATAATGAAAAGACCTAGAGAAAACACACAATTTCAACGCGGAACGTAAAAGAACACTAAAACAAAACTCCGGTGGCGGCCGGTGCAGCACACAACATGGAACAACGGCCTCCTTGCAGCTCTTATTACAAGCTGCAAGGAGGAGCCGAAAGTGTCTGTCGTCCGCAAGCGTCTCTGCCTTTCCCCCTACCCACGCACTGATGCAACGCTTGCGCACTTGCAACCAATCTGCACAAAAGGCGTCCTTACATTGCAAATACTCTCCAAGCTTTCAGCCGCATCTCCTTACAGATCTAGGCTCTGTATTCTCTGATACAGGAAGAGCTGCCATCTCTGTCTGTTGCACCGATCAGACGCACTTCCTTAACAGACGGATGCCGTGAGTAGGTACTTCCAGGTTATTGATTTCTAACTTTTCACTCAGCTAAGTTTGCTCAATGAGAATTTGATACACAAGATCAGGCACTTCAGTGTTTAACAATAGCATGATATGCTGTGCCTTCAGCCGCCAATCTCCGACTCTTATTGTACAGTTAACGCTTCCTGTGTAACCAGGGTATAACTCTTGTCTATTCAAAGTAGGCAGAAATCAACTTGCAGTTACCTCATCACCAGAGGGGTTCTTTTCTTCATTCAGGACAGGAACCTTGCTGCCACAGTTCCGGCATTTGAGGTGTCTCACCAGCTTTTCCGCTGTCTTCAGGTAGGCTCCAAGCTCTAATATAAAAATCAAAAACCAAAAAAACATATGTAAACATTTAAACAAAATAAATCAGAGTATAAGGCACAGTAGGGAGAAAAGAGGTGTCAGGCAATTATTCTTGAGCATTTTTTAAGTGATACTATTCTGTTACTAGAACAGATGGTGCCATAGTAAGTATGGCTTCGGTACTAATGGCTGCATCAGCATGGCCCTTGTTTCTCAAGCTAAATTTTCTTCTTTCAACGCTCATACTTAAAGAGAAACTGAAGCAGTCCTGTATTTGAGGATAAACACTTAAATATTCTTCCTTTGGCCTCCAGGATCACAAATGTTGTTCAGGGTTGGCTTGTTTAGCAGGTCAAGATTCTACCAAAATAAGGGTTGGCTTGTTTAACAGGTCAAGATTCTACCAAAATAAGGGGGTTGAAACATTTGTTTCAACTATGTGAAGAAAAAGCATGCCTAATAGACCAATCTCACTAAGCATTGGGCACATGTGTGAAGCCGCCATAACTTCAGTTCACAGGCGGCAGGTGCCAGAGCCCGAGACAGCACGAGCCGTCTCAGGCTCTGCACACGCAGAGCTCCAACAAGGTTGTCGCACGTGCAAAAAGACTGAAGTTTCCTCGATGCATTGTGACAGCAATGGAATAACCAAACTAGCCGGTGAGATCGGTCTATCCTTTGAAGGATGGTTTTAACAAGGTTGAATTGAACGAACTTGTGAAAACTATAAAAGCTTACTTCGATGGTTCTTCAACTCAGCACGCAGCTCTGCCACCTCTTTTTTTAGTTCCGTGTTCTCTTTCCTCAGGTTCGTTTGTTGTGCTTCTATGGTGGACAGCAGCTGCTGACCCTGCCTTTTTTGTTGCACCCTTTCTTTCTAAAAGAGAGAAGTATTATGCAAGAGAATCATCAGGTACATGCACTAGGTCCACTCTGTCTAGCAATCCAGCAAACTGCAAGCTGCAAGCTCTTAATTTCGGCAGCTGAGCAATAGATAGTCTCACTGAATGTAAAATATATCATACACTTTTCTTTGATGCTGCCATGGCCATCTGGTTTTGGCGAGCAATGATATCTTCCATCTCATCGATGAGCTGGTGCTCGTCCTCTGAAATAAACAATGTTCATATAGTTTACCAGACAAAAATTATGCTACTTTCAATCCCAATGTCAGACAAAGTTAGGTCTATGCAGGGTTAAAGAGCAACAGTAAATGTGAAATGTATGCTTGGTAGAAGAGTGTGTTGGTTTAAGTCATGAATGAAGAAAGAATAAAACAATTAAAGCAGGGAACAGTATGAAAGATGTGGTTTTGTTGTCCCTGTTTTAATTGTTTTACTCTTTCTTCATCCGTGAAATGTAAAGATCATTTATCACATCACCTCTCTCACAGCTGAAGAAACAAAACAGTATGATATTGCATTCAAATTTTATAAACTGCATTATGATCGCGATCACGCTCCCTCGTGCATACCCACGAGCAGAGAATGAGGTCAGGTGATAAAAAGGAGGCAGCTGATTGGTCCGGCAAGCGCATAGCTTCCACCGCACTGTTGGCTTAGGGGTGAAGGGAATAAGTGAGGTCCGGTATCGTGTGACGTGCATTTGGGCCCGGTGACGCACTTTGGGTACCGCGGATGTATCACAGTGAAAAAGCTTACGAAGGGAAGGAGGTACGAAATAATCCGCTGTGTTTTTAAATTTTCGTACCAAAAATCAGGCTTTTGACATTCTGCCTTCTTTCTTTTGGCCCCACTAAACGATACGCTAATAGTAAAATCTAAATTCATTTATCCCAGACGAAAATTCATTTCATGGGCCCTTTAAGATGAGTAGACCATAGAAAAATCGACCTGTCAGCAGCCAAAATGCCTCCGATAGATGCTGGCGACGTGACTCCGAAACAGAAAGAACCGGCACGGGTGTGTGCCCAAAATATGTCCCTGGTTGTACATACAGAGTTCTGTCATCAACAGAGCCACTCGCCATGCCTGTGCGTTTCACCAACACCAATAACAATGTCAATAACTAAGCCTCTGCACGCAAACTAATGGAGAAAATGGGGGACACTATTCATCAATGTGACAGAACTCGGCTTACCGGAAGTGCGAATGCATTTTGTGGAATAGCCCTACACATGCCTCGCACTTACATCACACAATGACGTCAAACACTGCCAACCACCATGCTGGTGATTGAGTCAATGGCCATTTGCAGTGCGAGCTAGGGTAAACTCCGTCACGTTCAGCTGCAGCAATTGCTATGTATCACGGCAATCGGTTCATCGCCAGGCCCTGTGTCAACGTAGTTGACAGGTTTGAGAAAGTATGAGTGGCAGAGAAGGGATGCGGCCACACATTACTGATTTCGCGGAACAGATTTCGCGGCAGTGATTGATCGATGGCACTTTTCTCGCATTGTTTATGTTTGTGAATGCCTCTGCATCAGCTTTACCTGTTTGTGATGTGGATGCCCTTTGCCTTTCACTCCATCATACCGTATGCATGCTTTAAGTGCATCAGTAAGTATGGGGCCAAATATAGGCGAGCGTGTCGCGTCGCGAGCCCGGCAGTTTGCGAGTGCTCGCTCGCCGAGACAGTCACTGGGACATCCCCAGCAACAGCAACCCTTGCACTGTTTACGAGTACTTCACAAAATCGGAAGAAGTTCAGTACTTTATTTTGAAGAGCTTTTAGTGGTGACTCTTCAAGGGGCACTGACACATCAAAATCATATTTTTTTTTATTATCCGAAACGGTCGAAAACGATGCCGGGACATTACCCTCAAAATTTGAAATTTGGGAATTCAGTATTTGTGAAGTAAAAAAACAATTTCCCAATGCCGAATTCGAAGTTCCCGCGCGATCGGCGCCGGTGCCTTGACGTCAAAAATTGCAGAGACCTGAGAGTCCACTTTCCTGTCACCACTCCCTGCTGTTGCCATGGCGACCCAAAGCGAGGAGGAAAGGAGCCAGCGCAGGCGTTGCGGCGGACCGGTTTTGAGCGGTGTCGCCTGTTTTCCGTTGGAGGATACAAATCCAGGAGACGGCACCACAACGAACTCCCGATTTTTGGTATTTCAAAAAGAAGGGCCGTAGTGCGTTCGCAATTGCGTTAAAAAACATGTTTCAGGATTGCCGTCATTAAATGTTATAAAGATGCCGCCTACAAAGCTTCTAAATTTCCTGATTTTTGACGTCACCGATCAAAAGAAGCGAGGAGGCGAGAGGCGGGAAAATCAAACGCCAAAAATAAAAAGGCACCGCGTGCGCGCGAGAAAATTTTTTTTCGCGATGCGGTTTTTTTTGCGTGTCTATGGCTGCAACTTGCATCGTTTTAGACAATAAAAATAAATACGACCTTTGGGGTGTCAGTGCCCCTTTCAGGTCACTTGTCAAATAATTATGGGATTTCAGTGATTTATTTGTCTTGAACTACATAATGAAGCTTTTCTTTGCCAAAATGACAACCCTTTGTGTTAAAACATTGTCGGTGGCACATCGAAACTCTGCACATAGCGCAATCGCACCAATGATGAAAAATTCCCTATGTACTAGCTGAACATTCTCATCATAAACTAAGCACGTTTTTCCAGGTTCACACGTCAAAAACTAGATACCTTTGTTGAAAATATGGTGCCTGTCAGCAAATGTCCGGGCAGTCAGCAGCATTCGACACCTTGATAAGTGCATACATGCAATGTGAAGTCGACCACCAGCATGGTGAGGTGTCCTATCATTCCCTAGCATGATGTCAAGTGCAAGGCATGCTAGGTGGTGTTCAGTGGTCGCCATACATGCCTTGCACATGTCGTAGCACTAGGGAAGGATGGGGCCCTGCATCATACCGGTGGCTGACTTCACACCGCTTGTCTGCATACTTACCAAGATGTAGGATGCCGCTAATTGACCAGACGTGCACTAACATACACCATATTTTCAACAAAAGTATCTTGTCTTTCACATGTGAATTTGGAAAAACATGCTGAGCTCACAATGACGACCTTTAGCCAGTAAGTGTGGAATTTTTCGGCGTTGGTGCGATTGTGCTACGAGCATAGTTTCGATATGCCACCGACGAAGTTTTGACACAGAGTGTCGTCGTGTTTTGGCAAAAGAATTCTCCTTGCGTGCCCCAAAATTTGGTGAGCGGCTATAGGAGCCGCTTCTAGTAAAACTGCTACGATATTGCGAAGTACTGGTAAACAACTCAAGGTTACCGTCGTAATCTAAACCCTGAGATAAGAAAAAATAAAATCACGGACAAGACGACTCTAGTTGTCTCAGGGTTTATATTATGATGTTTCCTAACCAGCTTGCCTGCATACTTTCACTCCTTGCAAAGGTTACCCTGCCGCGGACGGCACAAGCCGATGTCCTGGTCGCGGCGAGCGTACACACATCTGCGCTGACCGATCCTCGTCTGGCCGGGCTCCCTGCACAACACTCTTGCCCTTACTTGGCAGGGAGCACCAAAAGCGCATTCAAAGCATGGAAAGAGAGTGATGATACGAAAGGCAAAGGGCATCTACATCACGAACAGGCAAAGGTGATGCAAAGTCATGCACAAATGTAAACAATGGTAGAAAAGTGCCGTCATTCGCTGCTATAAAATGCGTCCGGCAAACTCAGTAATGCAAGGCCGCATCCCTTCCCTTCCACTCATACTTTCTCTAACTTGACGGCTACTCTGTCACAGGGCATGCCGATGAAATTATTGTTTGTATACATAGAAATTGCTACAGCCGAGCGTGGCACAGTTTACCATGGCACTCGTTGCAAATGGCTATCGACTCAACCGATGTTTCCAACATGTGCATTACACACCACCTAAATTATCGTCCTTTGGGGAAAATAAGGATATTTTTTCTGAGCACTCGGTGTGAACATAAAGCACCAATATGGCACCCAGTGAATACAGCGATAGTATTTATTGCTCCTAATTTACGGTGCCGCTCAACGTGCCAGTGAGCAGGGAAAGGCTTTGCACCCCTACACGACTAGTGTGCCTGGCACCAACAGGGTGGCGCTATATTACAGAAGAAAAAAAGAAGACAAACACACACATCTATACTAACACTTGGGTGATAGTTCTGCAGAGCCCTGGGATGTCGTCTCTGTCACGAGGTATTGTATCCATAAATTGAAGGAAAAGCGTGCTCAAAAGGGCGGCTACGAGCATGACTCCCTGTGGCGTAGGGTTCGTGCTAAAGGCGACTGTAGCCTAGCAGTACGCTTGTATGTACAGTCGGCGACAAAAGTCTCCAGGACACGCGAGCTGCGACTGAAACGCATTGCTCTGCCATCTGCCGGTGGGTCGCCTGGTTTCGAGATCACAGAAAAGCGCATGCGCATCCTACTGTGCCTGCCAACATGTGCGCTTTCCCGCTCTTCTGCGGCGCGGCGCCTAACTCGGAATCGGGCGCGTGGTACCGCCTCGGAGATAGCGCTTACTGACATGGCACCTATCAAGCAAGAAGTCACGGCATCTCAACTGAGCGATAAGCTCAACTGGTTATAAAGCAAGGTGCGCTGACGCGGCGAAATGCGGCGAAATGCGGCGAAATGCCCCAGGCGGCATCTCGAGTTTCGGAATGTGTAGCAGACGCTCGTCAGCCGCCAGCGCTATCACCGAGGCGGTACCACGCGCCCGATTTCGAGTTAGGCGCTGTGCCGCAGAACAGCGGGAAAACAGACATGTTTGCAGGCAGAGGAGGACGCGCATGCGCTTTTGTGTGATCTCGAAACCAGGCCACCCGCCGGCAGATGTCAGAGCGATGCGTTTTAGCCGCAGCTCGCACGTCCTGGAGACTTTTGTCCCCGACTGTACCTACGCTGAGCTTGACGAACGACGATGTTGCGCTTTGCACTTTGGACCGCAATAAACGCTACCTGCAACTGCTAGTACTAGCCACCAACGGACTCTCAGCGATGAGAAGAGGCATTTCAACACTCACTATGACTCTCAGAGCTTACCTGATGTGGCGATTAAAGTTGCTTCGAAGGTGCCTTTGTCCCGCCAGCGAACTTGTACTTTTTCCCCTTCAGTGGGGTATTCGCCGGACGGGCTACTGATGAAGTCCATTTTGAGCACATCATAAGAGTGTTCTTTTTCGAAAGACACAAGCCCGTAGCCCACCATGACAAAATGCCGGAGACTACAGGCGGCTTTGCTATCACGCACGCGGAAAACACGAAAGCAAATGGCGGCTGGCCGGCCGGATTGGATTGACGTTGGATCGACGAACGACTATGAAACACTTCTGTGTTTAAAAAAAAAAAAAAATGCGGAGGCGTTTTGAGCATTTTTTTTTTGTTTCTTTTTGCAGCTAACGTGATCAAATAAATAAATATAAATTATATGGATGTTTTAACCAACAATAGTTTCTATCTGAAACCTCGGCCCAAACTACGTATCAGTTTCGTGCAAGGTTGGTTTCGATATGCGGTGTGTGTGTGTGTGTGTGCGTGTGTGAGGGGAGAGGGGGGGGGGGTGTTTTCAGTTTTAGATGGTACAACCGGTACAAACGCAGAAGTGGTACACGACCTTACGCCGGTATGATCGATGCTCATCCGGATCAATATTTGGGGAAGGGGGGGGGGGGGGTGGGGGGTTCTGCAGCTTTGCTGTTTGACCTTGTTTGCTCCACGTGTACCCAGCTGGTGTGCGCCAGCCCGCTCGGCCCGCGCAAACGAACTACGTAACGTAGAAAGCCGGAACTCCGTGAAAATGTACCGCTAGCGACGAAAACTTACACGTTTGAGAACATGGCGTTATCATGACTAAAAGAACAAAGACAAGCACAATTTCTCCGAGCCTACATATATCCACTAAGCAGTGGCATACCAACTTTTTTTTAGTGGGGGGGGCAAACCAGACCCAGATTCCCCCCCCCCCCCTTCCCCCCAGGGCCGGGGGGCAGTGCCCTTGGTATCCCTTGGGCGCCGCCGGCAAGTGTTTCCCCTGCCCAGTGGCGGCTGTTTCAGGGGGGGGTGCCCAGTGGCGGCTGTTTCAGGGGGGGGGGGGGGGGGGGCAAGCGGCCCCTCCGGTTGTTACGCCCATGCCACTCAGCCTATGTTTCCAAGCTCAGCAAACCACCAGCGCCTACGAATTGCCGACCTGCCCCTGAGTGTTCCAAGCCAATATCCGGATCAATATCGTAATTCGTAGGAGCAACTTTCGTGGACAACTTTTTACGAACTTATATATCGCGGGTATCATGTTTTGAGACGTGCTCGAGGGACGCTTCATTGACAATGTTTTTCTTTCTTTTTTCTTAGTGCGTGATCAAATCGTGAATCGCGGAATTCACCAAGATATATTTACCTATGGATCCCACCCCTTTTTTTTTTTCTCTCTACTCCCTCAAACCGGCCCAGACGCGAAAAATTCGTTGCAAAAAGAGCAGGGTTGTGTTCGACGGTGACGATGAGTTCATCCAATGAGAAAGATCATTTTGTCCACATGCGACGCTTATTCATCATCAATTCGTTTTATCGAAAGGCTCCCCGCGTTCGTTCCATTGACACCCCTTGCGACGTTTCGCCGAACACAGCCCTTCTGTTTTCGCAGCAAACGTTTTGCGTCTTGCCTGGTTTACGGGGTTAGAAAAGGGGGGCGGGGGGGGGGGGGGGGGGGCACGCAGAGACAAGCACGATTTTGCGGCTTCCGGATTTTATTAGATAAAAACAAAATATGTTGACGTAACATCGCAAGAGCATGTGTCCACGAAAGGAGTTCCCACGAAACGACCAGTGTCGACAAAACGTGTGTCTATTAAAAGTTGTCCACGAAACGTAATTATAAACAAAACGAGTTTCGATAGGGACCTGGATGCGACAATACGTCGCAAATTTGGTGTCGGGGGAATTCCATTTGATGAAACGTCGTATGGCAACGAAGCGCCCTGTTGATAACGTTGCTCGACGAACTGATTGCCAACGGTTAGGAACCCAGTAGACGCTCCATTTAACTGCACCTGCTTGTTTTGGCCGGGCTTCGATTGCGCGAGTGACGAAGTATCATCAAGGCAGAATACTCACGCCCGAGGCGGAGGTATACAGCCAAAGGTATACAGGCGCGAGCTAGCCCGCGCCCCTGGCTTTCAGACGTGCATTTCTAGCGCGAATGCTCGTTCTACGGAAGAACGCTTCGAAGCAGCGACCCCAAGCTCTCGAAGTGGCCCTTTATAATGTCGTCACAACAGGGAATGACACTCGGCGCCTGTAGTATTTATTTCAGGGACACAAACTTGTCAGCGAGAAAGAAAATGACATTTATCTTTCTTGCTAGCTGCCACGTGGTGCTCGACAACCCAATGTCAGAAATGACATTGTGGCGTGCTTTGATGATCTTAGGCTTAGGTGGACGACGGAGAGAAACAGAGGGAGAAAAAGTATTTGGGGGGAAAATTGTGTTTTTTTTTTTCTTTTTATTGTTTGATCAAGGTAACGTCATGTTTTTAAACTTTCGCGTTATATTATCACAGCTAGCGTCACGGGGTTTCACGTTCCTACGATGCGAGTCGAAAAACACTGTTCTCTCTAGCACAGCCGCACAGCTTCACTAAACGAAGACAAAAAATAAAAAGAGGGGGGGGGGGGTAATTGTTCAAAAGCACAGCTTTCGCTTTTTTAATTCTTTTATTTACTTATTTATTTGTAAAATACAGAAGAAACCGAAACAAAACGATCCACTTCAGAATCCGTTTAAGAATCCAGTCATATTTATCCAAGGCAGATCCAAATCCAGCTGCGAGGACCATGTGCAAAAATCCACGTTGTTTTGTTTTGTAAGTTCTCGAGTTGGGGGTGGAACTGAACGGGCGCTCACACTACAAGCATCGACACGAGCTCCTCGGAACGGTGAATCGAATTACCTAGGAATTAAGTAATTTCCGATCTGATCAGCGTCCGCATCACATTGCAACTACTGTCAACGTGTCTGGATGCAACAACCACATTTTTCCAACGTGAGTACATTGTGTTTGTACCAACCATGAGGCTGCATTTTGATTAGTGATTCTACCGGGCGTTAACTTTTTTGTGCGACGTTATTAATACTGCCACTGTCACACAAGATCAGTTAACTATGTGTTATAATGCCGGGTGAGACTATTTTGCGGGCAGCCGGCACAATAGCCCGGGGGAAAAACTGCCGGCAGTTTCGGACGGCGTTTCGGCGGCAGTCTGCGGCTGCTCATTAGAAAATATTAAACCAGTTGGCCCAACCGTACACGCCGCTTCGCGGCGGCCCGCCGGCGGCCCGAGCCCCGCTGTCCTCCATTCACCCCGGAAAAGGAGTCCATACCATTTAGTGCAGCGCAATTTCGTCGACAACATTCGGATTTTTTTTTTTTTTTTTTTGTTAATTGTGAAAAATAAAGGTCGTAAACGCTTGACAAAAAAGAAAAAAAAAATCGAGAGAGAAAAGAAAAAAGCAAGTTTTCACTGTGGATCGAATTAGGGTCCTGCTGCATATGAGACAGACACCTTACCACTGAGTTACTCTACAGCTTTGAAAAACGGTGTTCACAATTCTTTTTATACGAGACACAACAGGGGAGAACTGCCGGCAATTTTCCTCCGGGTTATTGGGTCAACTGCCGGCAGATTATCCACTTCCTATAATGCTTTTGTTTACGTTCTGGACCATAATCTGCAAGGCTGATATCGCTATGTAGTTGACTTACACCCTAATTATTCAACTAGGCACTAGGAAAATTCTTCTGACATTGCTGCCAAGCTGAGATGGATCCAAGCAGAAGGCGAGGACCTTACAAGAAGTACCTTGCGAATCCCGAAGAACTGGTAAGTCAGCTTTTTGTGATCTTGGCACAAAGGCGTGTTGCAATGTCTGTCATGGGCGCAGATAATATAATACATGAAAGTGGCATACCTATCGCAATTTCTATTTTTCTCCTTGAGAAAGACTACTGTGAATGTTATGAGCAAGTCCAGCTAATCTAGAGCTGAAAATGTGCCGCATGACTTCCGTGTTGCTCAGAGCACAAAGTGATGTCTCTCAGGGCTGGTTTGGCTGAAAAAGTGGACCACTGTTGAATCGGCAGCGGTCCACCTTAAGGGAAAACAGTATATAAGCCTTGTAGCCTAGTTGAAGTGTGTGGATGAATGAGCTGTACTGATCAAATAGAATAAATGTTACGAAACTACCGAAAGGGGAAATCTTTAGGCTACAGATTTTTGAAAACCGGAGACGACGGACGAAAAAGGGGACAACACACAAAACGTCTCAAAACATCTATTTGAGACGTTTTGTGTGTTGTCCCCTTTTTCGTCCGTCGTCTCCGGTTTTCAAAAATCTGTAACATCAACCAGCTCGCCTGCCTACTTACTTTATCTTCAATTGCTCTTTACGCTAGTTGGTGCATGATCCTGAGGAAACTTATTTGCTCAAATATAGACCAAAACAAAAAGGGGCACAGACAAGTGCAACACTAAACAAATTTAATCACGGTCAGATGCTAGGGAAAATGTAGGGGGAAAAAGTGAAAAAACCAAGAAAAATCCCCTGAGAGTCAATTTCACCAGAACAAACCAGGTAAAAATCCCATTTATTACTGAACAAAAAAAAAAAGAAAAAGCCGCTTATGCAGGCATCAAACTTCTTTATAATGTAATAAGCTTTCATGAACTCTCTTGCTGTAGTATCTTCACTTCTGCACATGTTCTTAAGCCCGTGAATCTGTAGGTCACACATGCAAGCACCACAGTGTGTTTTCAAGTGTGCATTTCCTTTATTGGTTTTACTCACAACTCGTGTTCCTGTGCTTGGTCATTGACACGACGTCCTGTCTGACCAATGTACAGAGGACATCAAACCTGTCTAGAGCATGGGAGTGGTGCCCTCTGGTCTGCGCGTGCTACATCTGCCAGCAGACTCTGGGTTGGAGATAGCGTACCTCTGAGCATGCACTGCCTTTATGCAGCACTGGGCAGGTGCCAACATTTACGCTGACCCTTCTACAGGTTCTGCCGGCTGCCAGAGGAGCGCTTGGCACCTCCAGGCTGCCAAATCAAGGTGCTCGGTGTGGCAGCCCACGTGCAGCCGGCTCTGCATTATCACGCATTCTTCCGAGAGGAATTTGGCTGCTGAACTCGCACGCTTGCTTCCGTACTTGCGTGAAACCGCTGATGGTGTGCGCGGGAAGCTACACATTTTCTTGTTTGCATGTAATGCTTCCTCACCTTTACCAATTTAAGTGCTTGTTATCTCTGTTGCATTTCTTTTTAAAACCTGCAATTGGATAATCTCACTCCTATCTCTTTCTACGAACGACTCCAAGGCTAATAAATGACCAGCTTACAGGATCTTAAGCAATAAAAGCAAGCAAAAAACATACCCACCCCATAGGCGATTGGACTCTGAAGAATGGCTGTACCGTGCTTTTGTTTTTTTGAAGCCATAAAGTGTAAACTCTATCGCTGCTTGAGTGTAATATGGGAATAACTTTAACACCTGGTTCGGAAGCCCAATGCATTAATAAAATCACCAGCATTCTGTTGGAGTGCCTAAAATTAATCGCTTGAAAGAGCTGTAAAGCATGAGTGGCTTTTATTTTCCGCATAGCTTTAAGTAAATGTTGCACAAGTGACAGTGGGAATTGCTGTAAATCTTCGAAGAATTTGCACAACACTATACTGGGGGTCAACTTTCTGCGTCAATGCAGCCTACGGTAGGGGAGAGCGAGCGCCCTACGCTATGAACACACTTTTTTTCTTTGTTTTGCCACAAGTTGTTCCTGAGTATAATGACATTATAATTTAAATTTTCCTTTTCAGTGATAAGCGTTTCAAGCAATCCCTGCCTGCTTCCTTTTGGTTTATGTGCTTGAATTTTGTAGCGCTTGAAATGTGCTTTATAGACCCTATACTCCATCTCACCCTACGATAGACTTAGAGCCAAAGTTATGTGGTTGTGTTCTCATTGTGGAAGCAATTTATCGAAAGAGCAGAGGTATCAAGCAGTTGAATAGGTAGTGGTGAGGAAGCTTTACATGCAAACAAGAAAATACGTAGCTTCCTGCACACACCATGAAAGGTTTCGTGCAAGTACGGAAGCAAGCGCAGAATTTTAGCGGCTAAATTTTTCTCGGAAGAATGCATGATAATGTGGAACTGGCAGCGCATGGGCCGCCATGCCGAGCGCCTTGATTTGGTGACCTGGAGGTGTTGAGCGCATCTCTGGCGTCCAGTGGAGACTGCAGGGGGGTCAACACAAATGTTGGGATCTGCCCAGCACTGCACACTGGCAGCGCATGTTCAGAGCCGCGCTATCTCGGGCCCAGCTTCCGCCGGCACACGTAACACGCACAGTCTGGAGCGCACTGCGTCTGTGGTCTAAGACAGGTTTTTCCTGTCTATACGTCCTTCTACACAAAAGTTGAATCTCATAATGCACACCTGTAGAGATTTCCACAAATTACCTGGCATGCTTTTAGTTGCACATTCAGTACAGTTTATTCATCTGTACATATAGACTGTTTTCTCTTTAGACACCATGTAAGGTAAGATGAAGCAAATGCTTGGCAGCTTGATTTTTACCTTCCGATTACCAATATATGCATCAACGGACTTCTTCTGTCTATCTGTGACATTGCATTTGCTGGGTTCTGTCCTTCGAGCCTCTACTGGCTTCGACCGACCCGTCGCCTTATAGTGTTATGAAGGTATCTAAATAAATGAAATAAAATGAAATGAAAAATTGTCAAATTTTTTTTAACTGGTTAGATGCTTGGGTTCTGAGTTGGGAAGGGTGGTCTTGAGCTGCTTACCATTTCTGCTATTGCCCCTTTTTGTTTGGCAAGTTTGTTGTTAGGTGTACCATACATAATAATGAATTTTATTTTGAATCTCTAATTAAAGCTGCCTCGGGAAACCTGTCGACGATGGCAAGCCTCGGCAATGGCAGCCTCCAGTGCAACAACCAGCCCAGCAGTTCTAGACGATGCACCAGATACTGTCCTCTCCTCAATGCTGGATGGTGCCCAAGCTCAACCATCAAGTCCTGCTTCATGCTGTGAGAGTGAGACGGAAGAACCGATTCACTGTTCCGACTCTGAAACTGACGATGATGTACTAGAGATGAACACTGAATCTGACGATGATGTACTAGAGATGAACACTGAATCTGACGATGATGTGCTAGAGATGAACTCTGATTCTGACAATGGTGCTGCAGAAAGTGATAGTTCAGCTGCTCCTGACAGTCCTAACATTGACGAGTCTGCACTTTTTGAAGGCAGCCCTTTCACTAACATTGAGGCTTGCCTCTTTTTGATGACAGTGTTTTTTAAGTGTGGACTAACAAGAGAATGCCTAGGTCAAATCCTGTTTGCTTTTGCAACACTTCTGCCATCATCTAACACCCTCCCGAGCACCACATTTATGTTCTTCAAGGTTCTGTCGCGCTTTCAAAGAGGCAGAGGAATGTGCAGCCACTTTTTCTGTAGTAAATGCAATGAATACCTAGAACAAAATGCCACACATTGTCCATGTTGTAATGAGCCGTGCCATAGCAAGGGCAGTTTCCTGCAGATGAAGTTGGCAGACACTTTGCGATCATTTCTAGAGGATGATAAAATATATAAATATTTCATTAAACCAACAAGTTCAGCCAGTGACAAGCCCATTGAAGATATTGTAGATGGTGCGATGTACCAGTCACAACCTGCTTGTTCTTCTAAATTTAATTTCTCTCTTTTTTGGAATACGGACGGTGTTCAGGTCTTCAAGAGTTCGGGAAAGTCTCTTTGGCCCTTACACTGCACTATTCCTGAGCTTCCACCTCTCATGCGTAAGAAGTTCCAAATTTTGACTTGTCTGTGGTTTGGTGTAAAGCCGGTAATGAATACATTCATGAAGCCTTTTTGCATGGAGCTTATGGAACTTGCCACTAGTGGACTTGCTTGGCGTCACCCAGAGACAGGCAAGACAATAATCTCTTACATTACAGCTCCTGTATCTTCGGTAGATGCAGTTGCGAGAGCAATGCTTCAGGGTATAAGACAGTTCAATGGTCTGTATGGTTGCTCCTTCTGTGAGCATCCTGGGAAATCCCTCTCGTTGCCAGGCAAAGGGCATGTCCATGTCTATCTGCCTGGTAGCACATACTCCCTCAGGAATGGCCATCGGATGCAACGGCAAGCTGCAGAGGCACTTGAGAATGGTCACCCGGTGAAGGGCGTCAAAGGTCCCACTGTTTTGAGCCTCATACCCGAATTCGACTGCGGTAGCGGATTTGTTGTCGACTACATGCATTGCGTTCTGCTCGGGGTGGTGAGAACATTCTTGCATTTATGGTTTGACTCTAAGTACCATGGAGAGTCATGGTACATGGGCCGTCAGGTAGAGGTGGTGGATAAGAAACTACTGGCCATTAAGCCACCGGACTATATCACCAGGACCCCACGTTCCTTGAAACACAGATGCTATTGGAAAGCAAGCGAACTGCGTGCGTGGCTTCTGTTCTACTCATTTCCTGCTCTGCACCAAAGCCTTCCGGATGTTTATTTTGATCATTTTGCCCTTCTGGTTGGCGCAGTTTACCTGTTGCTTTCTGAATCTGTCTCCGTAGAGGACATTGATATTTCGGAGAGGCTGTTGCTCAGATTCGTTTATGGTGTTAAAAATCTGTATGGAGAGCGGTTTTGCTCATTTAATGTTCACCAGCTCACACACATTGCTGACTCAGTAAGGAACTGGGGGCCACTTTGGTCCACTTCAGCATTTTTATTTGAGAATAGAAATGGGGAACTGATGCGCCTTGTGAAAGGGACACAAGCTGTGGAGAAACAGCTTGCGAGCTTGGTTGCAATAAGCAATGCCCTCAGTGTCATCCAAAATCGTGTTGGAGACCGCTTGCATGTTGACTTTGTGCTTAGCAAGCTAGAAAATTTACATTTCACGAGAGTATCATCTAATGGTATTGCCTTTCATGGCAGACCATGTCAGACAAGTGGAGCTGTGAGGACAGCTCTTGGTTCTTTCTTCTCCAACAGAGAGCACGTGTACGTTTACAAGAAAGTCACAATGGGCACAGAAACATTTTCTTCTGTGTTGTGCATTAATCAGAAGAGAAGAAACAATTTCACAGTCATGTATGTTGTTGAGAGAGAGAGAACTTTTGCATTAATTCAGTGCTTCGCAAAGTATGCTGGGCAAGTGTACATGGTTATTAACAAACTTCTGGAGTGTGGTGTGCAGTACAGGCCTGAGGGAACGGGATTTTCGATTCCACACATCATTGCTGTGAAGCAGAAAGACCATTTGGACGTAATTCCTGTTCCTCCTAAGATGACGAAATGTGTCAAGGTGTTGGATTTTGTGTGCATTTCTCCTAACTCTTATGAACTGAATTTGTAGTTAAAATAATGTCTCCTCAGTTCGAGACCTTTCTTGTCTCATCATTCATATCTCAACAGAGGCTGTTAATGCTATTTGTCAGAGCTAGTAAAATGTTTTTAGGTGTGATCAAATGGAAAACGTTTGTGTCACGTAGCCCGGTGCACGTGACACAAACGTTTTTTGGCAAATTGGGGGTTTTACGTCCCAAACCAACGAGGGGCATCTGGCATGCCCCAGCGGAGGACTGAGGATTAATTTAGACCACCTGGGGATCTTTTGACGTGCAACCAAAAGCTCGGTTACACTGTGCTTTCTCTGCAATAAGTCCTCGCTTGTCTGGTTTGTGTTGGACACCATAGACAACATGGCTGATGTGATATGATTAGGAATTTGTTTGAAGTGGGTGAGCGAGCTGTGATTTAGTTTCTAACAATTTGAGGGTGTAGATCAGTCGACATTCATCGCAGAATGCAGGCGATTTTTTGTTGACAAATCTGTATCGAAGGCAACAGTGACTGACTGGGTGTGTATGTTTCGGGTAGGATGTCAGGAAATGAAATATCTCTCTTGGCAGGCTTTTGTTAGGATTGTGCAGGATGCGTTAGCACAGAAAGGGTGGGAGGTTCTGCTTCATCCAGCTTACAGTCCTGACATATCACCACGTGACATTAATTTGTTCGATCCCTTATATAGACAGCTCAAAAGGGACGACAATTCCAATCTGATGCAGACATCATGGCTGTGGTGGCAAATTGTTTATGGAACAACCACAGTCCTTTTTTGCAGACTGTGTCCACTGCCTCCCCAGCTGCGGGATGTGTGTCTGCATGCATATAGAGACTTGATTTATGGGACGCCTGCTGCACTGTTACTACCTTATATATTGCTTTGTTTATTTCTACCCCACCTGCTAATGTACCTTTTCGTTTGTCTGAAATCATTCTAACAGATTTCATTGGGTCACACCTCTTACAACATATCATTTGTGCTGCGATGCACTTTGACTGCTTTGAAGACAAGCCGATTTGAGTCTTCTTATACTGAACTGTAATTGATTGCTGCATGTTTGCAAAACCACTTTTTTTTCATAGAAGTATGAATTGTTTGAAAAGTCAGTTGTGCCAGTGCTTGATATTGGACTTGAGATTGTCATGTATACACTTTAGTCCATTTTAGTATATCAATTTGTGTGTATGTCTTTCTATGTATTTTTTCCAATGTTTGAAAAAGTAAATGCATATCTTGGTATTTTCATATATTGCAGCCTTTCAGTACATTTATCTCGATATATACTTGTATTCTCAAGCGCTTTTTTGAGTGTCTATGTCCATCCCTACTTGTTGTGATTTTGTGTGTTTCTTGAAAGGGATATTAATTTTTTGAATGAATAAAATTGATAAGCTGTGAAACACCAGTATCTAGTTGTTTGAATGCCTTCAAAAATCATCCAGTTGTGCAGTTAAGACACGGTTTTTCTTTAAAATTTATTTAGCAGGAATGTTGCATGCAAATGTAATTCCAACTGTTAATGTTGGAAGAGTACCAAATTAACTTTTGATCGTTTTATTGGTGTGTTATGACATAAATAAGTTTCTTCCATCGCATTATTAGCTTTGTGGAGACACATTTCATGCGAGATTACTCACCAAAATTCTTGCAAAAAGTTGTATGTAATTAGGAGAAAATGCGGGTTAATTTGGGCGATAACCTTCATTTCTGATAAAACGAGGAGAAAATATTTGCAAAAATAAATCCGTAAGTAAGGCATTGAATCGTACCGTGTGTTGGGTACATATGCAAATGAGCACAAGCAAAAAGGAGTCTCCCGGGACTCATTTTTATTTGTCAAGAGCTTTTTTTTTTTTTTTCCTCGATCGATCAGCTCGTTTCAGTGAGTGCACATTAGCGATCCATTCTGCTGAAGTGGTTATAACTTTCGTGGTAATTAACATGCGGCGCTAGCGGCAGCGAAATGGATGTTAAGACCGTGTTGATCGGGTTATGAAAGAAACCGCGGGGAGATATATGCCGCACGTATGTGCCCCAACTGAAAGTCTGCTAATAAGTCGCTGAAGATCCATCTGATGAGTTTGTCTTCACATGTCCCATTCGCGGACACAATTAAAATGCATTGTTTAATTAACTCGCTTTCAGATCTTACTTCGTCATATCGTCACACGTCAAGCATATACAACCACATTTACTTTGACTTTCATTCTTCAAAATATGCAATTAATTGGTGCAAATTTTACCTGGAATAATTACTTCACTTTAAGGATGTTAACAATAGTTAACCAATTGCAGAACATGTCACTCTCATGCAATATAGATAAATCAACTGTCTTCACGAGTACGACTTTATACTACGCGGTCGATATCTGATATACAAACTAAACGGGGCCCATATATCATTATCAGGGATATTCTATTTTCTATGTCGTGAAAGGATCAGTATTTGACTTTACACGGCGATATGTGGACGCGTATTTACGCACTTATATGGCCCGATACGCCACTATCTGCGCACTGATATGGCACTATCTGGACGTATTTACGCACTTATATGGCCCTATACGGCAGTATCTGCGCACTGATATGACACTATCTGGCCGTATTTACGCACTTATATGGCCCTATACGGTGCTTATATCATCATATCTGGGCGTATATAAAATATATCGGGGCCATATCTGACATTTTCGTAAGGGAAGATTGGGCGTCAATATTTCAAAAATACTCCATCTTTTGTTTTCTTTAAACTCCTCTTGGCACTTTGGAGTGACTTGAACTAACCTGTGATGAACCTGAAAATACATATTACCTCCGAACGGGAAAAGCTACGACGAACCTTCACTCGGAGCAAGCCGACGTTTTCGTCATAGTGGCTCTGCCGCACAACACCAAACATTTTCAGCGTTAGTTATGGCATATATTTTATATTATTAAAATTCCTTTTTTCATAAGGGGGAAGTATTAGTGACCCGAAAAGGGACTTTGAGCTGGAATACCAATAATTAGCTTGCAATTCACACAAACAAAACGGCCCCACTCTGCAAATTCGCTAACTATGCACATCAGCTTAAAACTCAGTTGCGCGAGTGGCCATGTATGCACCCTGCCCCTGGGCATATAATGACTTCCACAAATGAGATGCCTGGATTCCTCTCACAGGTTTTACGGTGGTCCACTCAGCTTGCTTCACCCCACAAAACTCTCGAACCCGTTCCGCAGACAGGTGGAACATGGTGTCATTTGTTACTTTTTCACGTAGCACTCCCACAAAGCCTTTAGCTGTAAAAATCGTTGAGTTGAGCGAAGAGCTCAAGTTAGTGAGCGTTGCGTGGTGTTTAAGAACACCACCTACTCCATAACAAGCGTTTTTTCCGTGTCCAGTGGCTGAAAAGATCCATCTTGCCGAAGTGTACGGCTTCCGAGACAATTCCTGCAATTGGAAGCGATAAGTTAAAATGCATCGCCGCTTCGTCTGATAAAAGAATTACTTCAGAAAAGACTAAATAATATTCATCAACATACTCTTTTATGGCCTCTGTTGCTAGAAGAGCGTGAGCTGTTTCATGTGTCGTGTCCTATCGCTGACAATGGCAAAGCTTTGCGTGCCTTGCGTGGACATAACCACACTGTGAAGATAGACACTTTAGTTTTTTCCAATGAAAACACTGCACTTCGGTTGGGAAGAGTACTGTTCACTTTTCCGCAAAATCGAAGTGGAACATCACTGCCTTGTGTGGTAAGGAGGTTCTTGTGTCATGTGTGGTAAGGAGGTTCTTGTGTCATCAGGCTTCGGATGTAAGAACTTCCTCATATCTTTTTCGCTCTCTAGTTCCCGCAGAAAGGCGCAAGTGTCCATAACCTTTTTGATGCAAGCCCAATATCTTCGTCTTGGTCCAGATGGAACGACTGCAGCGAGATGCTCTGGGTGTTTGGCCACTTTTCGCAACGGCGCGGGACGCAATCGTTCTGTGGAGTGCAGCAGAGATAAGATGCGCTTGAGGTCGTCTTCAGTAAATGTTTTCTTTGGGGAATTTGTTATTGCCTTTAAAAGCAACTGGAAATTGACGCGATATATGCATGCGCACACCTCGCGCTCGGGACTTTTTTTTTTAATCAATTTTGGTCGTAGGGAATAAAATTTGGAGATTTCTAGTTCTGGATGGGCATGGTCCCTCCTGAACAGCTGGTAAGCTTCCTTAACAGAGCAGGTCATAAAGCGTTTTACAACTTTGGACATGTCGCTGATCCTGGCTTTGACGACGTCCTTTTTGTTCGAGGTTTGAACAGAGCATGCGAGGTCGTGGCGTGTGTAGTACTCAATTGCAATCCACGGGTCTTCGGCATTCGCCTTTCTCCCCATGTAGGGATCACGGGTTGCCCATACACCACCTTTGCGCTTCAGTTTTCTTGTTTGACCAATCATGTAGGCAGTCGCTTCCGGCACCAGACGTAATACATTTCCTTCGAGATGCTTGGTGGCAGAAGCGTGTACAATCGCTTGCGTTCCTGGTGGGAACTGCATGCCTTCAGCGCTTCGCGGAACGCGTCAAACCACTCCGCGCAGTGCTCACAACTGTCTTCGAGTTGAAGAGTTTCGTGTGGTGAAGCAAGCAAAGTGGACTACCGTAAAACCTCTGAGACGAATCCAGGCATCTCATCTGTAAAGTCATCATATGCCGAGAGGCCGGATGTATACATGGCCACTCGCGGAACTGATAGTTTTAAGCTTGTGTATGCATAGTTAGCGAATTTGCAGAGTGGGGCCGTTTTCTTTATGTATTGTAAGCTAATTAATGGTATTCCAGCTCAAAGTCCTGTTTCACGTCACTAATACTCGCCCCTTATAAAAAAAAATGTAATAATATAAAATACATAACATAACTAACGCTCCAAATGTTGGGGTGCTGTGCGGCAAAGCCGCTATGACGAAGACGTCTGCTCGCCTTCGGAGTGAAGATTGGTCTTAGCTTTTGCCGTTCGGAGGTCATATGTTACTCAATCTTTTG